CTGCTGATCTTGGTGTGATATTAACATTAGTGCTTTTAGAGGAATACCGATAAATAATTTGATTAACTAAATTAAGCCAATAATTCAGGAAAGGAAGATTTTTTTTACTTTTTTGGTTGAATAAATACCCAACGCTTTAGCGAAAATAAAACTTCTCTACTTACAATAAACAACTACCACGTGCGAATTTAAAGAGACATCATAAATCACGCCATTGGGAAACATTTATTTCCCCTTTTGTTTATAATCAAAAACACGTGTATGTGAGTCATGCTTCTCTCATTTAGAGTAGAAGCTCTAATGTACATGTATCCGAAACATATGTACACACAGTGCCATCTTGTGGCAGAAATTATAGTTTTTAAAACATTCCAGGACACTGGCACAAATATGTGACAGTCGGGGCTGAACGGGAAAACACTCTGGCACGCCTGCGTGTTGGCCGGGAAGTGAATGTGTTCGTTGCTGGTACGTAGACGTGATAGTCGGCGCGAAGGGAGTTAAGTGTGGCTGTTGACATACTAAATTTTTATGTTATTTCATTTCTAGGATTTCAAGTTTAGATTTTCTGTGACCTGCAATAATACTGTTACTTACGACAGTGATGTTTTAAACAGACTGGATCCAGAGTGCAGTGATTTAATGCCTGAAGTCGAACCTCAGCCTCAAATTTCTTTATCAATCTGCAAACTGTTGTTTTACCGAGTACACTCTCAAGTCCAAAGACTACATGAGACTTTTTAACAGTCAAGACTTTCCATCCTTCTAACGAGCTTACAAAATAAAAACTTGTTGTTCCCTTGCGTAACGCTCCATATCTACTAAACTGCCAAATGAACTGATAGTGTTAAAACAACATTGTTGCCAAGTCAAATCAAGTCTATTCATAATTAGAACATCTGCCTGTTTTAATCTTTTCAACCCGACTTTTGCACGATTAAAATTTAACTATGAAAAGTAGTTTAATTTAATGTTGATATATTAAAAGGAGTGTAATATGGGTTTAAAGTTTTTAACTTTTCCCGTACTGAAAACATCCTGGGACAATGTGTCCCAAAACTGGGACTTTTTGTACCAATCGTCTAGGATATTACCTTTCCCCCCCCCAGAAAACAAAAATTTACGGTAATATATAATAAGAATATTACAAAACATAAACTTTGTCACGTGCACCAGTTCATATACAACAGAAATTTTCATATATGTTTCAGAAACAGAAACACAATATATCAGTATGCAGTTGATAATTGGTGGGACATACAGATGGAGAACAAAATAATAGAAACACATGTGAAATAATGGAAAATCTTTATTAATAGGGGGTTGGACCACCCTTTGACTGAAGTACAGATTGAATGCAATGTGGGATAGATGCACAGGTCATGGACATTATTTAAGAGAAATATTAAACCATTCCTCCAGCACAGTGATTCCGAAAGTCCGGATGGAGGTGGAAATCGGGAACAAAGTTTGGACTCCAAATATGCCCTAAATGTTTAAATATTCATAGTCCGGAGATTGAGGGGGGCCAAGCGAGATGTTTAATTGCATTGTCATGCTTTTCGAACCATTCTTAAATACACCTAGCAGTGTGGATAGGGGCATTGTCGTCTTGAAAAAGCGTTCACTCTCCAAGGAATTCAGCCTGGACAAAAGGATGGACATGATCCCCTAAAATGCTTAGATAGTGATTGAATGTGATCCTCTCATGCAGAATAACAAGTGCCCCAAGACCGCGCCAAGATATCGCATCCCATGCTTCACAGTAGGCAAAAGGCAGTCAGGATGAAACATTTCTTTGGGCGTTCTCAAGACATAAACGCGTCCGTCGTCTGAAATAGGGTGAATGACGATTCATCTGACCATATTACCTGTTGCCACTGCTGAGGAGGACAGCTTTTGTGATCTCTGCACCATTGGCGTCGCTTGAAAGCATTAGTTGCTGTCACCAAGGGTTTACAAATTGCCACTCTGCCATAAATGTTCACAGCATGAAGTTCCCCTTTGACAGTTTTTGTTGAAACAGGGTCCTGGAGATGATTGTTCATTTCGGATGTTATCTCGGATATAACGATTGCTTCTGCTTTCGGGCTACTACTATGCGCTTTAAGACCTGTCTATCCCTATCAGCCAGCTTTGACTTTTGACCACTGTTGTGCTTTGAAGATGTCGTCTTACCCCTCTTTTTGTGTATGCTGTCATAACGGCTGATACCCTACTCCTTGCACCCACAAGGCTTGCTGTTTCCGTAACCGATGCTCCACTTAAACGTGCTCCAACTATCATTCCTCTTTGGAACTCTGACAGTCCGATATTTCAACTTCTCACAGACAGTTCAATCGAAGCATGCAACACAGGTGACTGCTGTTTAGAGACCGATACCTTCCTCTTCACACTCACTAGGTGGCAGACTTCTGTTGCAGGTTGTGCTGCTGTACTGCAGATGCGAAATACATCATACTTTTTCACAGGTGTTTGTCTCCATCTATTAGCCCACTGTTAAATACTATTGGGACAATATATCCCACAAAAAAAATTTATTCAAAATTTCTTAAATCTGACATAAAAAATGTTAAATTACTTACTTAATAAGAACAATAAAAAGTCTTTCATACTAATTATGCCTTAAATATAATTGTACTTATGGCAAAATAAAAAAAAAAAAAAAAATTAGACAAATCGAAACCTGAGTAATCAGCGTGCTTAAAAACATGAGTGCGCCATCTGCAATCTAAAAGTGTTGCCAGGTTTCTTTAGTAATATATTTGTTCCCTAATTCCTTAAAAACACTGCAAATGTAAAAACCCATTTAAAAGTGGATTTCATTTACCCAAATAGGGTATGAAATCTACCCTGGAATGTATGTGTCCATTAAAACCAAAAGGGTTAAGTAAGCAAAAATATTTTTCACTTTCTAAAGGGGCATATTAAAGTTAGTGCTTTGGAGACACCCTATATACATACACCATTTTGGTTAGATATAGAATGACAAGATAGAAATAAATTATACAATACAGCAGCCTACCAATTAATAAGCCACTGTAAAACTTAAATCGGTTAATACAAAATAATGTTTATAAGCTAAAAATCAATTTTTAAAATACATGCCCATATACAGGGTGTACTGTAAATGTTGCAACAAACTTTTAGGGAAGGTAGGGTACATCATAACGATTAAGAATTGCATAAGAACCCATGCTCGGAAATGTCAGGGGTAAGTGGTAGCAGAAATAGAAGATGGGAAAAGAAACAACATTGATTAATTTGAAACATTTATTGGACATGAATACAAAATGGTGTAGGACAGCTTGAATGTTACAACAGATGCTCGATGTTTGCACCATCAGATGCCAAACATGCCTGACACCGATGGACCATTTGTTGCCAGACATGTTTTAACATACCGGGAGTTTCTTTGATTGTAGCAGCTGTACAGCCAAATCTTGCTACGAGATTCGTTTTGGACACAACAAGATCGTGATACACGATACTTCTGATGGCCGGACATGTTCTAACACACCGGCAGTTTCTTTGATTGAAGCAGCTGTGCAAGCGAGTCTTGCCATGAGATCCATTTCAGACACACCAAGATCGTGATACACAACACTTCTGATAGCTTCCCACCAAAAAAAAAAAAAAAAAAAAAAATCAATAAATAAATCCAGTAAGCGTGGGGGCCCAGGGAACTGGTCCACCACGCCCAATCCATTGACGCGGGAATGTTCTGTTCAAATAGCTACGAACATCTAGTCCAAAATGAGCATCATGTTGGAATCGTATGTTGTGCCTGACATTTGGTGGAACATCGTCAAACAAATCGATAAAGATCAAATAATTCACGGTGTTCTTTGTTTCATTTAAAAACATGGAAAGTATTAAGACACCTTCAAAGAAAGAGAGCAGGAGTAACACATTTGCTTAAAACATTCCTGCTGATTTAAGCCCCTAACATTATGGAGTATATAATAGATTTATATGTTTATAACAGAATTTTGCAATAGCTTTATGGGTAACTGAAAAGTAACCTGGCCAGAGCTTATGATCATACACAGCAAACCAAGATGTAGCCAAAGCCAAGGGGCAGTGATGAGACAGCAAATCAGGATACAGAAAACAGGTTGAAAACATTTATGCAAGAAACCAATACACTTCTTTGAGTAACAGTTAGTTTATTCACTTCTTGAAAACAGAGCGTTCCACTCTGGTAATAAAAGTGTATGCTCTGTTGTGCAGCTCAACAGTTCCTATTTCGAAGGAAGATTTGATTCATGTGGGTGAAAAAGATCAATTACAAGGTGCTTTAACTGCAAAAAGTACTTCAAAACTGATAAAAGTTTCAAACTAATAAAAAGGTGCTGGTTTGGGGGGGGAATTAAATAATACCATTAGGAAAGTATATACAGTGTATTCACAAATGCTAGCTATATAGAAATTGTTCCAGTTAGTGACTACAGCTTAAAGGTACGGTTCAGTGTGTGTGTAAAAAATGTTCAAGTAAAATGCAGTGTCAACAAAATGTGTATTTATGTTAGAATTAATGGTCTATGCCATTCCAAATGCCATTTTATTAAACCCTGTTGTAGCAAATGATTTGCATCTTTGTATAAATAACATTCTGTATGTCAAGTAATTCAGTTAAACTGTAAATTTATTTTACACTTATCTGACTATCATTCATTAGTTTACAAAATAGACAGTTATTCCATGGGGGGGGGGGGGGGGGGGGAACTAGATAAAAAATAAAATAATTTATTGTTTCACTTAGTTCATGCAATAACTAGTCTTCTAAAATACACCCGAATTATGCAGAATGCTCACATAACATAAACCACATAAATAAAATATTATACAGTTACGATAAAATAAGAAACAGAGTGTGAACATCAATAAAAAATTTCACAATGATTTTTTTAATACTTATGTTAATACATAAAATATTTTTATTCCAGTAATCATTAAAAATATACTGCCTTAATAGCCCCAAATTAATAAGAACTCACCTCATTACTATGATTAAAAAGGTAGTTGTGGAATTGACTTTTTTCGTTCAACACTGGCCACACAGAAAATGTTCTATTGGACACTTTATAAGCATTCCTACTTTGGTCAGTATTACATAAAAATGTTCCAAATAAACAGGAATAAGTATGTAGAACTAAACGTGCCTGCAAATACAAAAGAAAATTCTTAATCTTTAACAAAAGCAATAGGAACACTAAGATAAAAATGAAAAACACAATCATTTAAAGAAAGGGAAAAGCTCATATAGAGAAAAATCACTCAGCCAACTAGCAAGCAAACCCATATCCTATATTTTCCTTTCACAAATCCTCTTACACTACTGAAGCATTAAAAATAAAATATCATTGATTTGATAAATACATTTTTTATTAATTTAAAATTCAGAAATATTACAATGAAATAATTAAATGTTTTAGTTTTACAACTGGAAACAGTATTCAACAAAATATCGTATAAAGGTGCACTTATTGATTATATCTATACAGTAGTCTCTCGTTGGCATTCCCACTTCAGAAAAGCTGTGATGACACTATCAAATGAGAAAATGTAACAATACAGTACAAAATCTGAGATATAGACTCGCCAGATTAGTTTATTTAATTACAGCAAAGCACATGAGGGCTATCTCCCTTAGGAAAGGGATGCCTTTGTGGAAACTGAATCATCAATTTAAATCTAATAAGATGATATGTAGAAATTATAAAGTTAAAAATATGAAATAGTGATTCATGAAATAATGAACCACTTATGACCTCAAGGGAAGTGAAATTTACAAAAGAAAGCTAAATATATATTTTTTTTCTTGTTTATTAAATATATCTTATCAATGAAAGTCGTTTAATTTGCTTCATTTTTTGTGCTAATACTTCCTCTTCGTTTCCATAGATTGGCATAATTTCTTGTTCAGCTACAAAGTTTCATTCTTCAAGTTTTGTAATTGGCGTGACAAGGATTCCCATTGAATTGTCAATCAAGTTTTTTTTTAATTCTCAACAATCTCTCTGTCACTATTGATAGGAATGTTTTCTGGATTTAGAACCATACTACAGATTTTGCCATACGTTAGTTGACCGATGCTTGGGACATTGTTATCACAACGAAAAACTTCTGTTATATCATTTTCTTTTATTACCACTTTTCTATATTTCTTCATAAGTTCCATTAATAGGAAAATTTTGTTTTGTGTCTAGGTTGACACCAGGGATTGTTGGTGAAATATGAAAATCTTCAATTTTGTGGCTATCATCATAAGGTCTAGTTAACATCTATACACTACTAGCGATGTATCACAAAATTGGAGACTAAAGACATGCTGATCTGCTAAACTTTGTCTTGCTTCTACAGCATGCTGTTGCTGTTAAGATCAAATTGTATTAGTTTAGTTATTTATTATACTAATGTTTACTTCCTGTACATGCTTAAGGCTTATCTAAATACTGAATAAATAAGTTTCCACATAACCTAAGGCTTATCCAGACATTTTGTGGAACAATGCAGTCTCTGCATGTCCTGAAAAGCCCTTTCCTAAATTCTCTCCTAATTTTGCCCTTAATTTTGTTGCTCAATGCTTCCCTAAATTCTAAAAATTTTGCCTCCTCTAAATTTTGATGCCTGGTGTGGCCACACCAGCTCTGATGCCAGTCTGGGGCTTATCTGAATAAAAAATCAGTAATTGTGAATTCAAGCAGAACTACATGTAATATTTTTGTATCATTTACAAAATTTTTTTCATATGGAAAAAAAATTCTGTTAAATTTCTCCTCATCAATACACTCAACACATCACACTACAATTACCTAAAGTCTATACTGCCAAGCATAATGTTAACATAAAAGCTTACCATGCTCTTTAATATTTACTTATAATTTTTTTTTTTTTTTTTTTTTAAATTTTTTTTTTTTTTTTTTTTTTTTTTTTTTTTAATGTTTAGACATCATTGTGTGGGTTATTTCTCAAGCTGGTGTATGTTGATAGTGATGCTATAATGAATGTGTTGCTACGACTGCTGTGATGAAAGTAAAAAAATATAACAAACAATGATTTGTCTAGGTTGACACAAGGGGATATAAATTATTCAGTAGGTCCAATTTAAAATGTATGCCAAGCAAAAAGGTGGCTATTAATGATATAGATTTTGTTTGTTTCTTTAATATGAGAGCATTTTATTTAGTGCCAACATGAAATTAAGAATCAGGACATTCCATGTTTTATTATGAAAAAATATCAACTGCATAAAGCAGACAAACAAAGTTCTAAAAAAAAGGGGGGCGTGATCTGGATTTTAGATCATTCCAGATATTGGACATCCAGATTTCAGATTTTGTACTGTGCAACAGAAACTAAAATGTCAAACTAGAACCCCACAACATACCAGTAGTTTGAACATCTGAAACACCCATACAATCATCTCCCAAAAGTTAACATATTTTATGGGTCTCATTTGGGTTCCTCTAATGCTCAACTCTTAATGATGGTTCTTAAAATACATACTGCTGTTTCTAGTATAACAACCTTCAGTTTAATCATACACAGCATTTGGGGGGGGGCTTAACGAGCTACCCAAATTTTTCCTTTTACAATCTGAAGTCCCCCCCCCCGAGTGTAACATAAAACTGCAAAAGAGAAAATAATTTTTTAAAAACTTTTGAGTAACTAGTATACTTTATTAATTCACAACTAGAAAATCAGCTTTAAATGGCAAAATCTCAAAGATAATAAATATGTATTCAATATCTTCTTACGGTAGAAAATATACGATAACCCAGAGTTAAAAATTATATACTCTATGATTCTCTCTACATAAAAACAATGAAATACGGAAATCTAAAGAAGCTACTTTTTAATACAAAATGATGAATACTCCAATTCATTTTTTGGCAATACAAACAAGAACAGAACAAACAGATATGCAAACAAAGAATGCCTAGACAAAAACAAAAAAAAAATATTTTGTTTAAGTGCATACATACATTTATAACAAACACATACTAGCACACAGATCAAAGTTTCAGTGGAGGAAACAGAAATTAGGATAATTAAATATTTCTCTTAAGAATAATAATAAGTACAATAAATAAAAAATCACATCATCAAAACTTCAGATAACAGTCTACATATTTACCAGTGAGCATTAAGAAAAAATTAACATATAAATCATAATTATGCATTATTACTCCCCCAGAAGTTAAGAGATACAGAAACAGAATCTTAGATTTGAAAGTGAACAGTTCAAAACAGCAAAGCCAAAGAGTACGAGAAAAAATG